GGCAAAGGCCGACATAACGATGAAATATATTCAGAAAAACAATATCCATATTTCTTTTGTATGTTTGCGGCATTAATTAGTAGGCGGCAACAAGAATATATATATGTATTTATGTTGCCATATATTATCTTCTATTTTCCAAAAGCTTGGAATATTTAGCGTCGTTATGATTCTAAATAATTCTTCGATTATTGCAAAATTATATACATATATCTAAGCATTTCACCTACATATTTTTCATTCAATATCCAAGAACATTTTGCATTGTCATAGCTATCAAATATTTTCCCCAAACAGTGTGGGCACACTAAGGGGCTCTTACGATAGGTGAAAGGAAGTTGATGCTTAGATTGCTGAGGCGCGCGGACGTGTACGGCTGATTCGCTGCTATTTACAATACATTCATGTCTCTCTTGTCATCGTCCATATGCACTTCGATTGCGTAGGCTCGCGGGGGTGCTTCTAACGATTGCGCTCCCGTTATGGTGCCGTGCGCATCCTCATAAATGGTGATCACTTTTCGTGGCAGGCGCAAGAAAAATATCGTATTTTGGTATTTCAAATTCGATTTTTCGTGATTGGTGCAAGGATCGGAGTTGTTCTATTTCGAAATGCAATTTTCGTGGCAGGCGCAGCACTTCGGACATGGTGGTGATTGTCCAGGATCTCAGATTTCGTGATAGGTTGGATGAACCGTGACTTTTGGATATATGGTTCGATTGCAGATTTCGTGGCAGGCACAGCACTCTATGACCCTCGATGTGTAGATTTTCTGGCAGGTGCAGGTGCAGCACTTTATGAACCTTAAAATGCAGATTTCGTGCCAGATACAGCACTTGGTGAACCTCGAAGTGCAGATTTTGTGGCAGGCGCAGCACTTGGTGAACCTTAATATGCAGATTTCGTAATAGGTATAGCATTTTTTGAACCTCGAAATGCAAATTTCGTGGCAAATGCAATAGTTGCTGAACCTCGCAATACAATTTTCGTAGCAGATGCAGCGCTTGGTGGATCTTCAAGTGCACATTTCGTAATAAATATCGCATTTTGAAAATCTCGAAATTCAGATACAGAATTGGGTGACCATCGAAATGCAGATTTCGTTATAAACACAGCACTTAAGAAAAATCGAAATGCAGATTTCGTAGCAAACACAACGCTTACCAAAATTCGAAATGCAGATTGCGTAAAAAGCAAAGCGTATAGTAAACCTCAAAAAATATATTTCGTAATAATTATTGTATTTCGTGAAATTCGAAATATAAATTTCGTGGCAAATGCTACATTTTGTGTTCTCAAAGACTTATTCTTTCATTATCCCATTTTCACCCTTCCATTTTCATTCATATTCATATTCACTTTCATTCACTCACTCTCACTCTCACTCTCACACTCACTCTCACACTCACCCACACTCGCACTCACACTCACCTTCCACTCATACTCACACTCATTCTTACTCACACTCACTCTCACCCACACTCACTAACACCCACCTTCACTCTCGCTCGCACTCACTCTCCCACTCTCAGTCGCGCACATTCTCACTCTCCCCCACATTTGCCAAAAACCACCTTCACTCTCGCTCGCGCTCACTCACTATCACACTCCCTCTCACCCACACTCACTCACACCCACCTTCACTTCATCACCACCATCACCTCTCTGGACCCCAATGCATCTAGACCTCTAGACTTTCTGCTTACAGACCTCACACACACTGTTTGGGGTCTCTTGCCGGGATAACTAGATTTTCCAACATTAATTCAATATCAAAATCGTTCATAAATTTATCTTCCCACATAAATCGCGAAATTCGGTTCTCGGATCTCGGATCTCGCATTTCAAATTCTTGGGATACGCCACCCACCTCAAAATTATATTCTATTATTTTGAGGTGGTTGGAAATATTCGCATCAAATTATTTCTGGACTCAGGGTCTGACAAAAATTTCAAGAATGTCATCATAGATCCGACATGAGACCATCTAGGTGGAACCCACCCCCTGAAGTTGCGAAGTTGTCTCAGCTCGCATTACCAAGGACAGTGTCCTAATGGGTAGATGAGTAATCAACCACCCTTCAAAAATATGTTCAATGGGTGGTTGTCAACCCACCCACCCCTCAAATAAGTTTATTACATTGGTTGTTGTTGCTTGCTATAGTCCCACCGTCCCGGCTCTACCTGGCTAACACGAACCCCTAGGCCGTTGATGTTTGTTTATGCCGGTTTTACCTGGGTATTTTTAACCAAACCTTCAAAAACCCGGCGGATTAGCATGTTTTCCAATCTCTTTTCCTCTTCCATTCTTTCCTTGTTGTTTGTTCTGTCCTTTTCCACCTTTTCTCCCGTTGGCACCATTTAATGGGTGGTTGCGTAATCAATACACCCCCTCAAATACATTTAATATAGAGGTTGTATGAGGTTGTATTCTGTCTTTTTCTACTTGTGATGGAAGCCCACTTAATGGGTGGTTGTGTGGTCATCCACCCCCTCAAATAATTTAGTTATTTTGTATTTGGTGACCATATTCCGTTTCTTCCACCTTTCTCCCTGTATCCAATTATCTGCACATATATTTTTGCAAAATGATTTCCTTTTCAAACATTTCCTCCTGTTAAGATGGCAGGTATCTTCGATTCGCAAATATTCTCAGCCTGTGGACTTTGATTCGATGCCTTCCAAAACATTGGATCAAATGTGTCTCGCCATTTTTGTGAAACAACCCTCCTTTTTTCTAGTTTTGATCTAGCAGTAAATCCACAAAGCATTGTGCCCAGAGGCTGTAACTCTGAGGTGCTTGTTTGCAAGTTGCTGCTCTGTCAGCCAGACAACCGACACTATCAAAAATGACCTTGTATTCTGGTGGCATGAGATTGGGCAGAAATTCGTTTTGTGCACTTTGGCAGAGGAGAACGGTGAGGAGAGCAGTGACGAGGAAGCCAATGATGAGAACAAGGAAAGCTTAAGTGAAAAATCAATAGTAGTGCCGATGGAGATTTGGATGTGATTTACGAGGAGAAAGAGATATATAGAATGCCCTGGCGTCGTACAAAGAAGCAAGAGACGCCCTCAAG